CAATCAGAAGTTAGATATACTTCTTTAAACATTATTAAGTTTACCCTTAAAACTAGATTCATTTCAGTATTGGTAAATTGAAAGTGTTGTAGTACAAAGGGTCTCAAATTAAATCAAGTGCCCCAATGTTCCCTGCAGTGGCGCATTGTTATCAAGGGAACGGTTTTAAAGGAACCTTTAATCTCATCATATGGCAGGACGCTTTGAAACCCTTCCATATTAAATGTTACTTCGTTTGTTAGCCACAATCACCAATTTATTTAAATTAAAGTAATTTTAGTCTAAGCTAGGATGGTTTGAAGATCTATACTAGACAACACCCAGGTAAATGTAACGCGATAAAGTAGTTCGCCTACAATACAATAAATTTAAAATATTATGCTTGATGTAAAATTGCCCGAATGAGATTCAAACTCAGGAACAACGCGATTCGTACTGTCCCTCGATCAATTAATATACCGTATCTATTTATTTTTAATAATTTTACCTTCACGTATTACAAGTGTCAATTGGCGCTCATGTCCTAATGTCAATAGCAAAAAAGGACGACAACGCATCGTAAATAGACGTTGTACATACAGTTGTATCAATATACTTGGTCTGTTTTTTTTTGGGTCATAAAAATATTTTCAAACCTTTACAATCGTCACTGCATAGTTCGAGTTACAAATTTAAATAAAACACTTTAACGGTTTAAAACGCGATATATTAGTTAAACTTATTTGACTCTCATTTTCCCGTGACTACGACTGCTGCAAATCATCGGAAATGTCGGGCCGAAGTTAAAAATCATTTTCAAATAAGTTATCTAATATATCGCGTTTTAAACCGTTAAAGTGTTTTATTTAAATCTTTACAATCGTTTTTAAATCTTGTACACTGTGTTATACACATTTGACGCACTATTGACCAAAACACATCCGTATAAACACTATTTTTATACGTTATTTAGTTTCAATTGGCTCCGGCCATCTTCAAACTCGAAAATGCAATCACAGTTCAAAGGCCTTATGCACGAGAGCCTATTACAAAATGGCTGCCTGAATATAATTCGGTAGGAGCTCTTTTGGAGTTTATAGCTGGTATTACGATAGGACTAGAAGTAATGCTAGGCTTAGACACATTTGCTATTTTACCTTCAACAAATTGAGATCATAAATCCATTTATAATCTTTAAGAAGTTTAAGTGTGTGTTGAATACTTTTGATTTTAACATTACGTACATACCTAGCAGTACTCAGGTTTATCTTTAGATTGAGGTAACGACATCTTCTTTAAACTTAATATTTAACACAGTCAATATTACGTTTTAAGAATTTAAAAATATATAAATAAAGTAAATATTTAACTGTAACATAATGTAAATAATAAATGTATTATTTAACTAACTTATAAAAGACAAAGCTCAGTGATATTTGATTAAATTATAGTTAAGAAGGAAGATTTACGTTTCTTGTTGATAATGAAATATCACAAGACACATTTTCCTGTTTAGAATCTTAGGTTACTGCCTGCATGTAAAAAGTTCTAAGTATATTTTACCATATCCAACCCAAATCCATTTTTTTTATGATATAGAATAGACAAGCATGGTTCACTTAATGGTAGGTGAATACGCCAGCTATATAACAACTAAACAAGATGCGCTGTCAACTTACTTTGACTTTTGATACTCCGAAATCCACAGACTGGAAACGAAACGCGATTATGCAGATTACCAGACGGAGTACATGTTTAAGAAAAAATATAAACTGATTAGAAAAATGTTAGACCCGGTGAGGTGAAACCCATTTGATTATTAGCCAGATACATACTGTCTATAGTTTACGCGAGTAGTACACATTTAAATAAAACACTTTAACGGTTTAAAACGCGATATATTAGTTAAACTTATTTGAAAATTATTTTTAACTTCGGCCCGACGTCTCCCCGTGACCACGGCTGCTGCAAAGCATCCGAAACGTCGGGCCGAAGTTAAAAGTAATTTTCAAATAAGTTTAACTAATATATCGCGTTTTAAACCGTTAAAGTGTTTTATTTAAATATTAGCCACATACATAAAAATTAAACAAAAATTACATCGATACACTTAACTTGCTACACTGCTAAAAATAAAATGCATAGTTAATTACTGTGACTGTTATTTTAATTTCAAGAAATCTCGGCGATGGCTGTTTGGCACGTTTTCAAAGTGTAGCTTAACTTAAAGGACTTGTATTATAAATATATATTATACATCTAGAGAGAGCTTCTCTCTTATGCTGCTAAATTTGATTCTTGTGTTTTGGCAACAAATTCAAATATATCACGCCATAAATTTTTCAGTTGCGTACCGCATGTTAGCGGGAAATCTGTTCAACGTGAAATATTCGCTTCGTATTTTGTTAGATTTTTTTCTCTGCGTTGTATTCACGTCGTAAAAGCTATCTAATCGTGTAATAAATCATAGGTTTCGAAGGCTTCACAATTATAACATAATACACCATCACATAAAAGGAATTCCCAAAAGGCATGAAGACATTTCAGTGTCCATTTTACTGATTGGATTTACCTAGAGGCAAGAAGTCGACTTCTATGCCCTGCCCGACCGAAACAAACCGTTGTCTCCCCGGGATTGAAACCCAGAACCGCTCGCGATTCACGCAATGCTAGTTACCATGTTTAAACTCTTAGTCTATACTAATATTATAAAGCTGAAGAGTTTGTTTGTTTGAACGCGCTTATCTCAGGAACTACTGTATCGATTTTTGAGGCAAAAAATATGTATGAAAGAATACTTGTTTAATGATCTAAATGCTTGCGACACCATATCGTCTATCTTCTAAAATTTACTTGCAAGAATAGCTGGACGGACAGGAGGTGGTTTGCAAAAAAGAAATGTTGATGTCCAAATTAACTATTCTACGCGCACAGCAAGTTTTGTTATAATAAAATTAGTAGGTATTAAGCGACAGATGCCGCAGGAAAACGTATAGTGTAAATCGTGCGCTTCAATATTTGAGGGTCACAGTGAAATAACTTTGAGGTCCCACGATGCTAACTCCACTTTCCTGACCTACGAACATCGAACAAATATTGAGACGAAACTTCACCTGCCGCTGTTCTTGCTTCAATATTATATTTTGTTTTCACTTCATACATATTCAAGAAGCTATATATCCGTGAAATTCGTACTTAAGGCCACGTTTTAATAACCAATAGCTACCGTTTGAAGAATACTAAAAAATAGAGTTAAATTCGTGATACATCACAATACAACAGCACCACACAGTGCCATCTATCTCTGAGGTAGTCAGATGTTGCTTTACGCACAAATACACACAGATTCTATACTAATATATAAAGCTGAAGAGTGTGTTCGTTTGAACGCGCTTATATCAGGAACTTCGGGTTCGATGTGAATAATTTCTGTGTTGGCTAGAATATTTATTGAGGAAGAGCTATAAAACATCGCCCTGTGACTAATAGGATCAAAGATACAGCGAGAAATGTGGAAGATATTTGGAAAATCATTGTTCAGGGTTTCCGAGGCGTACGCTGCAAAAACGGTTCATGATACCCAAAAAATATGTAAAATGATCTAAAAAAAAGTTCGCGACGCTATATGCCTATCTTTTAAGATTAACTTGCAAGAACGACGGGAAGGAATGCGACCGACGTCGTGGGTAACCTTAAGTTTATAAAGATGAAGGTGTTTGCAAAAACGAATTTGTATGCCCAAAATAACGATTCTCGCGGACGAAGTCGCTTTCACAGCTAGTATAATATAAAAATAATTGTCATTCATAAAATTGCTGTCCTTGTTAGAAGTCTTAAGAGTCTATAGAATCATCTAACCTTCGTAACTAACGAAAGAGAAATTTAGAATGTTTTTTTATTATGTTGTATGCTCTAATTATTTTTGTTCTATATACAGACCGAAAATAATTTCCGACATCTGCGACTAGAAACAAAAGAACTCTTCACATGTGAGGTATGTCAGGTTTATATCTATAAAATAGTTAGAAACGTGAAACACGTCCAATGTGAATACTAAGGAAACAAGTACCTATATAATTATTAATATATTATTACAATGGCGTATCCATAATTTTGTTGTTGCATTATTGACTGTTATTGTTGTATTGATTTTCCTTGAGTCTACAATCGCTATGTTTAGCTCGTATTTATCATAAGCGTTGCTTCATTTATCCATTAACTTCTAGCTTTTCTGATGCGCAGTTACAGAATATAAAATGTCACTGTAAAATAATAAATGCGTATAGTATATTTTTTCTAATTTGGCAAAAACCAGAACAAATATGGCCGATTTCAAACCAAAGAGAACTAGTGATGCCATTTTAGAGACAGGGTTAAAGAAATATCCATTAAATTTGGACTAAACGACCTCAATAATTAAAAAACTTCAGAGTCGACTTATAGAAAATTATGTCATTATTAACTCGACGTTTATAACGCTTTTCAGCGATCGTGCATGAGTGGGACTTCTACCTTCTATTGTCGTTGACTTTGCTTACATCTTATTCTTATGTAAATGTCAATCTGAAGAAATATTGACCTGTGCATATTTGTTAGGATTTTTATTAATTTTAGCATGAAACTATGATTTTTACTAAGAGGTAGTTCATTAGTTTAATATATTATCCAGTGTCTGAAAGTGTTTTTAGTGTGAATCAATTAAAAAAACCTTCTAAAAAATCACGTTGCATGTAAATTGTGTTTGTTTACCAAAAATGTCAAATAAGAAAAAATACACTAAATATTTAAACGAACTATGTAATTTTCCAACAATAACGAACTGTACTTATTTCCTTAACTAATATTTTTCGATTAGCGTATCGAAAGAGAATTACTGTGCTTTTAATAACATTAATGGGCTTTTGTTTTGTCATTAGCGCGATTTTACGAGTTCACGGTGGTATAAAAACCCACTGGTAGTCGTCGGTGCATTCTATGAGTTATCAGAAGTGAGGTGGCGTGATTTTATTGTCTTTTAAGTCATGGTGCGTTTAGTTTTTGTGGCCGTGTTAATTACAGCGGCTGTAGTCTTTGGTGCGACGAGAAAACCTTATTACGACATCAACGACGCGTCGGCGTTATTCGAAAAATATGTTAGGGATTACCACAAAGTATACAAGAACGAAGCAGATCGCGCCGAACACTATGCAGCCTTCGTTAATACGTTGAAAGTTATAAATAAAGCGAACGCTGAAAATAGCGCGACGTTTGATCTGAACCAATTCGCAGATTACACACCCGAAGAACAGAAGTGGCTTCACGGTTTATTACGTTCGTATATCTATTGTTACTTGCATTAATATATAAAAAACTCTATTTATAGAAATCAACGACGACGATTTCAATTGTTTTTATGATAGTGAGAGACAAGCTTTGGATTTACTTGATGGTAGTTGAAATACCCTAGCCATATAACAAAAACGATGCGCTGTCTTTTGGCTTTGGATATTCGGACATCCATTGACTGAAACCGAAAAGCGATTAGACTCCACGACTTTTTCATATGTGCACAGTGGCTCGCGATCCGGACGGAATTTCGATATTCCTACCACCTGTTTGCAGACGAAGTCTAACATGTTTCAGAAAAATTATGGTGGGGATCAAACCCACAATAAGTTGATTATTAGCAATACATTTATACATTGCTACCATTACAACAACGAGCCTTAATATATATATATATATATCCTTTGTCTCTTTTTAGCCTGGGAACGTTTAGACCGATTGTATTTTTTTTTAACTTTACCAGACAATAAAGGCCGAATAGAACAAATTTTGAAAAAGATAAATTAAATTTCTATTTTACGTAAGCCGACCACGGTGCAGTCAAATAGTTTTGTCAATCCATGTGTGTATGTTCTAAAATAGATAGTGCTATAGCTTATACTGCTGAACCGTTTTAATAGCAGATTCTGATATTATAGATAGACTATTTATTAACTTTACTATTTCTTATTCTTACAGCTCTAAATCAGTAAACTTCGCCAGAGAATCAATGCTTTAATAATCTCAACAAAAACTGTTTCTGAATTTCTTCAATACACTGATTAAGAGACGTGATTTTTTTTTTAACCCTTATCTTGGATTATTTTATAGGAGCTTTATGGTTTAAGTATTTGTAGATCGAAAAAAGACAAGATTTAATTTTACGATTATCGACAATATACCTTTGATCTACCTGTTTACCTACCGTATCTTGTCTTTTGTCGAATCTTTCATTAAACAGTTAAATGTCAAAATTGTGGCGACAATCCAATTACGAGTAGGTATATTGATATTGACTTTGCAACACTTAAATTGCATTAGTTACTTAATGATTTCTGATAAAATATTACTCTTTGATTAACGAATCGATAATTATTACGGTAGCTTATTGAGTCATTATTATATCGTTAGTGTAGTTTTAATGACCTAACGGTAGAATAAAAAAGCTGTTTTTATCAGTGCAGTAACTAGTAAATTACAAAACTAAAGCCGTGATTTTGATAACGGCTAGATTTCTTCTGCGACCGCTTCAGCGGGCGCAGGTATTCCTGTTCGCGCAATTGCGCCTGCAGGAGGTGGCGGGTATCGTGGCTCGTTGCTACGAGCCCGTCGGTAGGTGTGCTGCAATGGCAGCGTCTGGCCGGTGGTGACGTCGGTGGCTTCATCTCGCGCACCGACGTCCTGGGTGTGCACGTTGGGTGAGGGGGATGTTGATGCAACTCATTACACCCCGACGATCCTGTCAGCGGCAGCAGGCGCTCGGGGACACGGGCGGCTTCATCTCGCGCACACCGTGTCCTGTGCTTCTTCTTCTTCAATGGCTGCGTCGGGAGAGCGGCACGGCACGGCGGCAGAGGAACCGGGGCACGGGCGGGTGCGCCTAGTGGGGCAACCGGGACGGGCCCTGGACGAGGGGGCGGTCAACCGGCGACACGCCACCGGGGGCAGGCGCAACCCGCGCGCGGGCTACAAGCCGCGCGGCACGCATGCGGCTTCCTTCAGCGGCCGGGGAGGGTGACGGCCGAAATGCAACTCCCGGCATATGGAGCACGGAAGCGGTGGCCGCCACCTGTGGGTCTTTTCGGGTGTTGTTGTCGTTGAAGGGGGTTGCGGCAGGGCGCGAGCGGCGAGGTCCCCGACAACGTCAATCGGGAACGAGCACGCTCGCGTAGCACGAACCGCAGACTCGCCTTCGCTGCGACGCGTCGTGAAGGGATCCTCTCCTCCGCGTCCTCCTTCGGGAATGGGCGTCACAACTGGGTACAGGGCGACGTATCTCGATGAAACAATGAAGCTTGAGGTGAAGCTCGAAGCTGCAGACGATTCGGTCCTAGGGGGCGCGGGCGGCGCGCGACGCGGGCGCGGCAGGTCCCGCCGGGTGAGACCCCGGTAGCCCCGGGGGAGGCCCAGCGAAACGTAGCCAGCGGATGGTCGCCGCGAAGACGCGCCCGTAGGGTTAGCCGCGCCCCGGCGTCGTGTCCGGTGATGGGAAAGGTTATATCGCGGCCGAGCTAGACCGCGGCCCGCCGATATACCCGCGCAGATGGTGTGCGCTGTTTGTCCTGGCGTCGATAATGTGGTGAAGAAACGGTGCTTGATTGCGCGGCACGCGCTCAGCCGAAGTACGGTGGGCCTACAGGACTGCCTAAGCCGTCGAACTCGTTCCGGACCCCTAGCCGGCCCGCAAGCGACCCAGCTCGAGGCGATCGGTTCGAGGACGACGGCGGTAGCTACTGGATGTAGCTTTCCATACTTCGGCCAAGCGGATCTTTTATCCAAAAAAGACGGCTTAGCACGACGGTGGGCACGTGTGCAGGGCTGAGGTAGCCTCTCCTTGATTTTGATATCAATTAAAAATCGATTATAAATTGAAAAAAAAATACGACTCGGTCAAAACTTGAACCGACCGATCTATCGATCTACAGAGATGTAACCAATTGAGCTATCGAGTCTTACACGTGATCGTCGAAATTTTTCAACCTGTTGAAACATGCATCTCCCGCGCAATATTTAAAGTCAGCTGCAGTCTGTGGTTCTTCAAACCATTACGACATCAATGATGCGCCAGCGTTATTGGAAAAATACAATAAAGACCTTCACAATGCTTATAAGAACGCGAAATACCTTGATTAAACTAAGGAGAAACAGCGAGTTTGTAGCCGGTGGAAATTAAAACAAAGTAATAGATGGAGTATGCGTAACAGCAGAAATAGTACTTACTTAGACTTATAATAAGAATAATACAAAAATAGGTTAATCTGATATACATGAATTGCCTAGTTAGTTTATTGGTGGTAAATAGTAGTTTAGTAGTAATAATAATAGTCAAGAGCAAGAAATAAAAACCAGTATCTAATTTCAGCACACTAATGTCGATTGTAAATATTTGTACGTTATTACATCATAGTTGAAGCGGTTTTTATAGATAATAACATATGAACATATATAAGGACTCGGCAATATATTAGTCTACTAATTCACCTTGCTACAGCCAGTTATATTCTGCGCTTCGTGCGAAAATGCGTTCGTTTATAATTTTGTTCTTGGTAGCGACAATAGCTGTTGCTCTTGCTGAAGACAAGCCGCATTACGATTTGGAGAAAGCTCCTGAGCTATTCGAAAAATTTGTAAAAGATTTCAACAAAGTTTACAAAGATGACAACGACAGGGAAGTGCATTATAAGCAATTCGTAAAATCGCTTGAAACCGTAAACGAACTTAATGCTAATCCTGATGATACAGCATCATATGGAATCAACCACTTTTCAGACTACACGCCTGAAGAACGGAAACACATGTATGGATTGCTGGTTGAATAAATAAGGTAAACATACTATTTAAAAAATCTAAAATAAATTTTAAAAATTTTCGACTCGGGCAGGACATGAACCGGCATCGGTCAGCGGTCCGTGTTGCTCCTACACTTTATTGTCGAATGTAATTTTTAGCTTCTTACTTGCGTGTTAAAGTTCAATGTCTTATGCGAATTTTTTTCAATTTATTTTCGATTTTTAAATTATATAGTGGCATCATGTGCAATAATAACATTTGAAAAATATTTAATTTTTCAAATACTAAGTATTGTCTGCAGTACACATTTATATAAAACACGTTTAACGGTTTTAATACCAAAATATATTACTTAACTTATAATAATTACGGCCCAACGATTCCCGTGTTACCGGCTACTGCAAAGTATCCGAAACGTCGGGCTGTAGTTAAAATAAAGTTGAAGTTGAAAAAATGTTTTTTTTTTCAATTTTCACTTATTTTCTTTAATATCGCATTAGTTATTTATATATATAATAAGTTACGAAGAGATAGAAAAAACTCACGATCGTTTTTTTTTATATTTCAGGACATTCAAAAACTTTGGTGCACTCCCTTGAAAAGATATTGCTGATATTTATTTTAATAAACGAAAGTGGTGTTGAACTTGTTTTTTTAATTTTAATAAGTTTTAAATATAAGTAACAAAAATTATTAAATTATGTAGACATTTTGGGTCATGGGGCAACATATATCTGTTCTTTAGGCAAGTAGTGCATCAGAATTCTGAGTGCTTTAAATATTGGGGTCAAAACGGCACATTCATAACAGGAAAATAATTTTCACGTGAATATATAATAGCAGTATTCTGCTAATAAAGATCTCGTTTTTCTATAGAATCCTTGTGGCACGCTATAAAAATGTGCTCAATGGCAAAATGGAATTTTTGACGGACGCGTTGGTTTAATGGTAGCAATCTATGGCTAATAATTATCAACGTTTCTTCTAACGTGTTTTCAAAGACGACAACGACAGGGAAGTGCATTATAAGAAGTTCGTAAAAGTAAATTCTAAGATAACATGTTTCTAATAAAAAAAAAAAAAGTTAGAATTATTCCAAAACACGTTGGACTTCGTCTGGAAATCTAGATTTGGAATGGGTGGTAATATCGAAATTGTGTTCGGACCACGAACCACCAAAAAGCCGTCAAGCTTAATCGCGTTTTGGTTTCCAAAATCACAGATAGCGCATTGTGTAGATGTTATATGGCTGATGTATTTTACCTACCATCGTGTGACCCCATGCTTGTCTGTCCTAAATTGCATTCCAACCATCGCATTGGTCTGAATCTCTCATCATCTGAAGATGCTAAATACTGTGAACGTTGAAAGAATGTGTAAAGGCAAGCGGTGTTGGACCCTTTAAAGATGCCCACAAGCCAGAAGTTACTTTACGTTTGTTAAAGAAGTGGAAACCCTCAATAAATGATTTTCTGACCTCAATAATTTTCAAAACAATGAATCCCACAGACGAAATATAAACATTGAAACACATAAAATATCAAAATCTTCCTTTGTTTAAACATGTTTAAATACTGTCTGTAGTTTACGCGACTAGTACATATTAAAATAAAACACTTTAACGTTTTAAACGCGATACGGCTGCTGCAAAGCATCCGAAACGTCGGACCGTAGTTAGAATAATTCTCAAACGAGTTTAACTAAAATATATCGCGTTTTAAACCGTTAAAGTGTTTCATTTAACTGTGTTTATTTAGATCTTACCCGCCGCATAATAATAGAGTTATCGACACGTAACTCTGTGCCTTTGTTACAAAATAGAGGATCCTGTCAACCAAAGTAGCAATTTCTCACTTATTATCAGTGAAACGTGCTTAATAGTTATATATATATATATATATATATATATTTCTCCATACTATGTATAATAAAACAAAAGAAAACTTATGTCGGTATATTTAATAATACTAGCAAAACTAGAGCGCTGGCGAATAGAATACAGGAAAGTTATAAATCTATAGTAAAGCTAAAGATTTGTTTGTTTGAACCCGAATTTCGCTGGTTCGAATTAAAAAATTGGTTAGTTGGATAATTTATCGAGGAAGACTGGCTACAAAATATGCAAACGCAGGCTGCGAGCAATAGTAACGAAGAAACAGAAGGAAATGTGGAAAAAACGGGGGAATTATTCATCTTTGATGACTTTCGTTGGAAAACTGTTCAAGAAACCGAAAAAATATGTAAAAAAAGACTTCTTTAAATAGCCTATAAAGATGTCCACGACAGTATATGTGTATCTTTTTATATTTAAAGATTTAACTCGCCAGAACGACGGGACGCGAATGACGTCGTGGGTAAAAGCCTATAATTTATAAATCTGAGGAGGTTTTTTGCAAAGTGGACACCACATGGAAGAAGTCGCGCATATACACACTAATAAATAGTAATTATCAGGCAAAGAAACATAAAATGTCAAAATGTAAGAAATAACGGATAAATCCTTGCAGTTACTCATTAGTGAATTTTCTATCGTATGTAGCTAACCTGCAAAGTTCACATTTAAATAGAACACTTTAAACGATTCAAAACACGAAATATACTTGTTATTTTTTTTATTTGTTTCAGTACGACCCAAAGTTTCGGATGCTTGCAACCCCATGAACGTGACTGCTAAGGGTCTCAGCACACGTATGGGATCGGAAAGGGATCGTAACCGTAACGCCTCGAGCCGTTCAGAATGGTTTGTATTAAACTCCCTACTGCAACGCACACTAATCGGAATCGTAACGTAATCGCCTCGCCTCGGAACTTGCAATTCCCGCGCTTACGGCTCATCGTCCCCGCGCTTACGGCTCATCGTCCCCGCGCTTACGGCTCATCGTCTCCGCGCTTACGTCTCTCCGTCCCCGCGCTTGCGTCCTCCTTGCAGCCAGCGGGCGACGAGGCGTAAGCGCGGTGTCGCCTAGCCGTAGCCGAGTTGACGTACAGGCGCTGCTGATACGCTTACGTTACGTGCGTACGGTAGGTTGACGCCTGGTTGACGGCTAGGCGAAAGGCGTTACGGTTACGATCCCTTTCCGATCCCATATGTGTGCTGAGACCCTAACGCCGCTAAATTGCTTATGACATGATTGTAGAATTGTTCAATTCTTTGCTAATTTGTGTGAACGCAAAGTTTAAAAGATCGAGCTGATGATTATAAAGCTTTTAATTCCTTGGAAGGAATAAATTAATAACTTCATCCTTTAATAAAAATTTAAGAATGCTCAGAATACTTCACTATGAATACTCGAGGTATACGTATCTTCGTGAATAATAAATAAGTAAGGTTTTAAGCTAGCCATCCCGGGAACGAGCTTGATTGACATTTTAATTAATGTTATGTAACAGACAACGATGATGCCTGTATCACAACGGTTCTTCGATTTTGATAGACATGTTACATTTCCATCAAAATATATAAAATAATAGTGAATTCTGAACATAAAAATATGACAAATTATATAGCTCATGGTTTTTCCTATTTCAATCCTTAAATGAGCACACAATCTATTTTATTTGTGATACATATTATTTACCTTAGTGTAGGTGTGCTAATGTAGTCAAGTGTTCAGCAAAATAATTGAAAGACCACAATGATTAACGTACTTTGGATAAATACTCGAAACTAAAAACAAGCAACAATTTGACTTGCCTTATACTGTACTTGAGCACTTTTTTAATACGACAGTTTGTAGTTATCTGTGTTTTATACGCCTTCACGCTCAAATATCAAGATTCTATAATAACATACAGATGACACTTAACATGAACAAATAACACGTTATAACATACAGATAACAAGTAGAAACATAGGAAAGGAATTAATTTTTGGGAGCAATAAAAGTCAAGGACAGATCAACCTTTATAGTAATAGTCTGTATTAATTCACAGAAACCGAAATAAACAAAACGAAGATCGAAAAAAACCCAGCATACCTATGATCTTGTGAAGTTTGTTATCGCTCTTTAATTTGTTAAGGCATCTGATGTACGAGTAACGCCGTGGGTTTTATCTAGTACAAAATATTACCAACGATAAACAGTTACGACTGTAATAAGTATTTACACTCGAAAGTCGCACAAACATCCAACCAGGCAGCGTTTGCAAAACGTGACATAGGAGCTCGGCAAACCCAACGTGAATACTAAGTTGGGATATTCCTGCATCTGAACGACGCATACCAGTAAATATCAGCGTGAATGTGTTACAGAAGACAAAATAGACAAGTCGAGCTTACGAGCGAAGTTGCGGACGTGGATAACTCGCTGATAATATCATACGAACGACAGATTGTACGAATGAGGATAATTGAGATTGTCTTCAAATGCTGTAGTTAAAATTAAACATTTATTGTAATAATTTGGTGATATTGGAGGGAAACGAACTTATGACTACAGCGTTACGTGTTCTATCAAGTGCCTTAGTTCAACCAATGCCATATCTGTGTCTATCTGTGTCATAGTTTTGTAACGTGTGCCCATAACAAGTAAATAAATCAAGGGTGATTACAATTTAAAAAATTTCTTATATCTATACTACTATTATAAAGCTGTAGTGTGTTTGTTTGAACGCACTAATCTCAGGAACTACTCCGAGTTCAAAAGATATTCTTGTGTTGGATAGACATTATCGAGGAAGGCTTATATAAGACGCAGCGGCCAATAGAAGAAGAAGATAAATTTTCAACTGTTTGACTGTAAAAAGCAATTGTTTAATACAGTAGAAATATCTGTAAGCATACAACTGTGCGATGTTATTTTTTTAATATCCCCCCCCCCCCACTTTTGACCCCGTTGTCATTATGGGGTACAATGTAAAAATTATAAAAAATAGTTGTCGAATCCTAAACTTAGCGAGTTATTACTCTGTAACAAAAAGTATCGCAGGGCAAGAGCATATTAGCCCTCTTGCGTAAAAACCAATTTAAATGCCTCAACCCCACGTAGTGATTTTACTTAGTTAATAGTTACAATGTCAACCTGTTTCGGGGCTTATTCGTAAGTCGTGATGGAAGCTATAAAGCAGTCGTGTAGATGATGTATCTCGTTAATTAACACGACTTACCGTTTCGGAACTAACTCGTTCTAAGTGGAAACTTCACCCTTGAGAATGTGGAAAGAGCGCCGAAGGCATGCAAGAATGTCTTTGTAACTATTTAAAGATGCCTAACTACAGAATTCGTATGTCGTCCCTTGACCTCAATTTGCAAATGTATATTATGGTTGTAATACAGATCTTTATTGTCTGGCCTTTATGGTTAAAATTGGCTCAAGTCCAATCCGTAAATATTACAGTATTATTAAATACGGTCTATAATTTACGAGAGTAGTACACATAAAAAAACGCTTTAACGGTTTAAAACGCAATATATAGCCGTAGTCTCTAGTAGGGAATCTCCCTGCTGCAAAGCATCGAAAGGAAACATCGGGCCGTGGTTTAAATAATATTGAAACGAGTTTCACTAATATATATCATGTTTTAAACAGTTAAAGTGTTTTATTTGAAAGCATTAATAAATGTCATCTTAAAATAGAAGTATATTTTCAACCCAGCATATGTTGGCATTAATATATTATGTTAAACAATAACTCATAATAATTATTTTTACGGGATTTATCCATATATAAATCTATAATATGTATGGCCGCCTCTGTAGATAAATATTTAAACTTATTAGCATTGCGTTAAGTGGGAGAGGTCCTAGATTCGAATCCCGGGAAAACAAGAAATTGTTATGATCGGGCAGAGCACAGTCTGATCAGCTACTTGAAATAAAGCTGGTCCCATGCCCCACGGTGGTAAAGGGATTTCAAATTAATATGCATATTATATTAAAAAATATGGGAGCATATAATCTATACTAATATATAAAGCTGAAGAGTTTGTTTGTTTGTTTATTTGTTTAAACGCGCTAATCTCAGGAACTACTAGTTCGAATTGTAAACCTATCTTTATATTGGTTCGAGCATTAATCGAGAATGACTGTAGGCTATAAAACATCGCGCTGTGACTAATAGGAGCGAAAAAACGATGTACATTTTTCATCTCTGTGGGTTTCCGATGCGTACGCTGCGAAAATGGTTCAAGAAACAAAAAAATATGTATAAAAGAGTGATTCCTCTTAAATGATCTAAAAATATGCCCGGAACACTATATGGCTATCTTGCAAGAACGACGGGACGTGACCGGAGTCGTGGGCGGCTTAATTATAAAGATGAATATGAGGTCTCCAAAAACAAAAATATGGAAGCCCGAAATAACTATTCTACGCGGACGAAGACGCTGTCACAGCTAGCACTTATATATAAGTTATCTTTTAAAAGCTATATAGAAAACTTTGCACCACTGTCACCTTATTATTTATGTAGATTAACTTCAGAAAGTTTTCACAGCGGTGACGCGGAGTTTTAACTGCCTTTAAACTTGTAGCTTCAGTACGTAAATTAATCGTAGTTAGCGGGGTTCGCGTAGTTGATAATTGACCTACTTATTTTTAACATTATAATCCTTTCTGCTCGACGGTCCGTGTAACGTCCATGTTTCGTAACTAAAAGCTGGGCTAAACCCTTTACATCGTGATATATAACAACAAACCGTTAAAGATGTACTAGCTGACCCAGTGAACATTGGTTTTCCATATAAATTATTCTTAGGGAATTTCTTGACTGTAAGAATCTGGGGCATTAGTGACTGGATATGCATATAAAGTTTCATTAAAATCGTTCGATCCACTTTGGAGGGTTTTAAATTTTAAATTATTTTATCATTTTTAGATCTGTGTACATATGCCCCTTTGCCTCATCAGGGAAAAAAGATTAGTATTATGAATTCTTTGAAAGTACCAAAATGATTAAAATAAAAGTTTTTAAGACGCAGATAATTGTACGCTGCACACGCAGCTTATGTTATTTTCCTCGAGCTGAAGATTCTAGAATACAGAAAAATCATGTAATTGTAATTGAAACATGTTAGAATAATTACATGACTTTTATATATTAAAGCGAATTTTAATATTTTGTGCAATGTCAAAGTCAAAGTCATAAATCATTTATTCACGTAGGTAAGAGTATAAAATTACATTTAATATAAGTTCCCAAATCAAGGGCGTCGAAAGAACAAGAAGAACTGGCAAGAAATTCGCCGCCACTCTTTTTATCACTAAGGTAACAGTTATAATTGTGTAATAATCTATAACTTAATAAATATGTTATTATAACATATTAGTAACCTATATGGTAAAAGATCACTGGACTATGTCGTATCCATAATAATTAATTGATTACCAAATAGTATAAAAGATACACTTACCACTAAAGATATAAAAACCAATATAAAAAAATTGTACTCCCTCCAAATACCTTCAAATTAATGTAGTGACTCGCTTGTTTGTTGCCTATTATAATGTGTAAAACTGTTCGTAATATAATTATATACTTCGATATGTGTAATGTGTAATGAGACAAGGACGTTACGGAATAACTCGAATGAGTTTTTGTTGACGATTTTTTATGTTACAAATAAATGTAAAATTTTGAATGAATAAAAAAAAGTTAAGCCAGCATACTCATGTTCATTCAACTAAACGAGAGATACCTACTACTGTTATAGCTTCTAAAAATATTACTCTCTAGCACTAACCTTATCTAACTCAATCACTGTTAATGCACCATCGCCTTAGGTAAGAGTACACGCAATTAGGTTGAAATGCAAGTTTGCTTTCAGCGCCGTTTTAAAATATACTCAGCAAAATGAACGTTGAAATTTAGTTCAAGCTTTACACGTTTTTCGGTTATATTATCGCTAACCCAAATTGGTACGTCATTGATTATAACAAATAAAATTTTCATAAAGGACATTTTTCATTTTTACGTTTTCAAGGTGACGGGCTCGTTGCTAAGTAAGACTAATTATTGACGGGTCGCGGGTTCGATTTCCACCGGCTCCAACGTGTTTCTAATGAATTTACATTTTTTGTTAACTTGTAGGTTTTATCTAAATTCCGAATCACCATCCTGACAACATATGAAAAAGCCGCGAAGTTTCATAGCGTTTTGGTATCAGTCTGTGGATTTACGAAAATCCAAAGCCTAAATAGGTCGATAGCGCATCTTTGGATGTTAAATCTTATCTGTCCTCTTCTATAATAATAAAAAAAAAATGTTAGGCATTGAATTTGTTTCTGATTAATTTCGTATTAGGTTACTTTGACCAAAAGTACTCATTAGGCTCTTTAAGTACATCAGCCGTTTCGTCGATTGAGATATTCTCGTGGCCCCGAAAATAATTATTGTTCATCTCCACAAGCGTTTTAACGAATCTATAGTAATGAACTTGACGGTCATATCGTTTCGTCATATTCCTCTTTTTATATTTCTTCATAAACTCGTTGTAGAGTTCTTCGGCTTGATCCAAATCATATAGTTCGGAAGCATTGATATCTCTAAGTCTTTCACGCCCTAGAAATTCGGCGTCCTTTTTATTGGATATCTCGAAGTCTAGAAGAGAATAGAATATATCAATAAAACATGCTTATTGTTTTAGAAATATGTAAATACAGATAACAATCACAAATAACTATGACATATAAAATATTGTCACGTAACGCGTTGACTCGTTAGTGTAATGGTAGGAATTGTTGTAATTTCGATCACCCCAGGGTCCAAGATTTTTCTAATCAATTTACAATGTTTCTGAAAGATGTGAATCTCGGTCTGGAAACCTGGATATTAAATGGTTTGTATGGAATATCGAAATCACTTCAGGGTCAAGGATCATCATTGACAGATAAAAAAGCAGTCAAGTTTGATCGTGTTTCCGTTTCAATATCTTCATTTCCGAATATACAAAGCCGAAATCGTTTGACAGCTTATCTTTTTTAAATGTCACTTCGTCTAGGTCAGACAGGCCTTGTCATAAAAAACGTTACGTAACGAAATTCTTTACCCTACAGAACTTTTCGCTGTTAATGTCTCAATTGTTTACAGACCCCTCACTACTTTGGACGTTTTTCCTCAATTACTTACAGGGTTTAAATCGTATAGCATAATGTTTATTGAATTCATTCGGGTCCATATCAGCATACTGATTAACAATGTAGAAAGTATCTTTATCTCGAGTAGCTTCATTTAAATTGGAGACTTTGTTAAAATTAACCACAAAGTTCTTGAAAGCTTTGCTTGCCTCAGCGTCATCTTTATACCTCTTGTCATATTTTTCCTTGAAATATTCGAACACCTCCGTAACGTTATCGGCATTGTAAATCATTGAAGACACATAATTAAAATGGACGATTATTAAACACGTATAGGACAAGTAATTTAATAGAAAACAAATATAATACAAACACAACATAGGCCTATTCATGTTTTATAAGCGGCTTCAGCCTGCATGGGAATAGTCTTATAAGAACAATAAAGTAATAAAACGCTTACTTAAAGAGATATTCTACTATCACTTTTATAACATACAGACTACAGTGTATGTTATACCAATCTTTAAAACATTGTTAAGCGTGAAATTTTCGATTAACTGTGTTGGATGAGCCAATAATGTTTAAAAATTATGCCGTCTCTATCTAATGAAAAATCATTACTACTGTCTGTTTGCGTAAAAATTAAACGACATTTGAAATTTTGAAAACGCTGCACATGATTTAAGTCTTGTGCGTTTTGCGACTTATTTTCAATCTAAGTAATTAGGTTTTTAATTTTTTTATCGACATTTGATGCTTGTAAATTATTATTTTGGTGCGAGGAAGAAGGTTATGGAGATTTAAAGGATATAATCATAACTATAATTGCGTCTCCAAATTGTTTCAAAAACTATTTGTTTCTATTGTTTGTCTGCGATTAACAATTTCGGTTTATCGCTTCTTGTAGAATTGAAAATGCTGCCCTCTATGGGATACAACTGCAACTGCTGCATCGAGTTTTGCAAATTGCCAACATGGATATTTATTTTGCCACATTTTCTTGAATTTATCTGGTTTAAAATTATCATTATTTAATTTCGACTTACTATACTAACAATTTTAGCACCAAAGTTTTTTTTAAAAAGCCACAATTTGAATTTGAAATATTAATAGCACCGGCTGCTGCAAAGCATCCGAAACGTCGGGCCGAAGTTAAAAATCATTTTCAAATAAGTTTAACTAATATATCGCGTTTTAAACCGTTAAAGTGTTTTATTTAAATTTTTCATTTGTGTAGATAGTTATTGAGGGAAATAAAATTATGGTAATGACAATCCTCATGAAAGGATTATATGTCATTGCAAACTGTCAATTGTCATTTCGTTGGAAGTTCAACGTTTTCTTGTATTTAATTTGTTTTCTATGTTACTGTTTTCATTTCAATATCGGAGAGATTCTCCGTGTCTCTTCTCAAAAATTCGCGGTATCCAGTGAAATTTATATTATTTGTTTATATTGTATAAAACTGAGGAGTAAAAAGTTCATTGCGTAAAGTAATGTAAAGAAATAATTTCTGTATTTCAATAATATAGATTGAAAGTGTTGTGTTTAAAAATATTCATATAAGACTCGGAAGAAATATTTAATTTATAAACCAAATCAACTTAAGTAAAAGGTAAGAACTTTTTGTCATTTCTTTAACACACGAAATTTTTTCTTAATTAATTTTAAAGCTGATTTCCTATTTCCAAATATTATTACTAAAAGAATACACGTATTGGAAACCCACTACACGTTATTTCGATTAATTATAATTAGTCGAAAAAATACTCGCAACTATTGTTAATAATATACTGTTAAAATTACATTAACCATATGAACAAGGAAAGGGTTTAATAATATCCAAAATAATTATTTTCAGCTAATTTTATTCCTTATTTTAATTTTATATGTATATATTATCTACAAAATGAATGTAAAAATATTCTATAGGACTAACCCATGGCTGTATTGTGGCATATTATTGTTTTTCCTTTAATGACTAAACAATAATAGATAATAATTTGCCTTAATAAATAGTTATTATAAAATTATATGTCTAAGTCTATAGGCACTTACTACATACTGCAGGGTTTGTACACTATTACCACTAAACTTAAACTTAATATATTATACATATGTTACACATTGAAATCACTCGGGTATCTTATATACTCTTGTTATGAACATTGTGTGCTAATAATTGAGCAAATTGACCAATCGATACAGTGATTCCATTCTCTAGATATGTGTGTCGCTTGCACTCTCTTTAATATGGGGCAGACACATTTCTATGTTCATTTCACTGATCCGATTTGTTTAAGCAAGTCCTTAAAAAATAAGTACGTTGCTGCTTGGCTTCAAAGCTATAACCTCAGTTGTTTATCAAATATCCAAAACCCAAATGGCTCGACTATATATCTATCTAGTCAAGATGTTATCCGGCTCGAGTGCCTTCTATCAAGTGAACCCCCATGCCCATGTCTGTTGTTTATCATAAAACCAAAAAAAGTCACAGGCTATTAATAGTAAATTGTACAATTTATTACAAATTATGCAGGATTTCTTTGTTTTATTCATTACTAGCTGTGCCCGCAACTTCTTCCACATGGAATAGGAACTTTAGGTAGAATTTTTCAATTATTTAGGCTGTTTATTTATTTAGTTTATAAATTTAATAAGACACATGTGTAAATACAGTGTTCCACTGCAAAGAGCTTATTAGGGTATTCATAATAAGTATATCCATGGTATAGTGTATTTTCATATGCTTATTTGAATTTTATAGTTACTTTCGCTTTTCTAATATTAGTAAGTTCTATAATTAATTACGATCCCTCGTAATACGTACCCTCACATTATTCCCACTCCCATCCTCACTAATATATTCATTCCCAAAAAACTTGCTTCATAAATCACGAATTTCCATACAAACTTTCCCCCCTTTTCAGTCCTTAATATCCCTTTTTTATGTAGGTAGTCTATGCCTTTTTGTGGTAGCCTATACCTTTCTCGGGCTCTAGAATATCTGTGTACCAACAGACAGACAGTCGTAGTTTCTGTCAATTTTATAATATTAGTAGTGATTATATTTATTTTGTGCCAATACCGAATGCTATTATTTATTTACAATGAAAACTGTATGAAGCGTGTTACATATTATTGTTATAATTGTTGCTATGTTATGTTCTGAATTCAAAAGTATTTCCTCTTCCTTACAACTCGGTATAGTTAACAATAGAAAATTTAAATAAGCGGCTCTCAACCCATTATAAATTGATATGATGTAGAATCTGTGCAATTTGTCTCTACTATAGGCCGTCAATTCCAAGGTTATGTCACATATCCATTAAAATTAACAATAGTAGAAAATGTAGAGGAAGAATTGACATTGTATTATGCCACTATATTATTAGTATGTATAGTACATTTCACACTAAATTCTGTCATTGGCTTAGTTTTATTCAATACTAGCTGTGCCCGCGACTTCGTCCGCGTGGAAGCGTGACTTGGGGTACACTTTTTAAATTATTTAGGCTGTTTAATAATGTATGTAAGGGCGCAATTAAGGCAGCCAATTTATGTTGTAACGGCTACTTTGCCGCAACACATTCACTCACATCACTCCTACTCTAACTTCCACTCCTATTCCCAAAAGCCAAAGAAGAAAGTTTCATTGTTCTAGCTTCAAACACCACGAATTTCCATACAAACTTTCAACCCCCTATCAACCCTTATTTCGCATTAAGAAGTAACCTATATCCTTTCTCAGGCTCTAAAATATCTGTGTACCAAATTTCATTCAAATCAGTTCAGTAGTTTCGGAGTTAAAGCCGGATAGACAGAGTTACTTTCACATTTATAATATTATTATAGAATTTGTACAGATAGGAAATGAAACAATAACGATTTAAAGCCCCAAAGTGCAGACCAGGTTGATTTTCTGTATGGTTAAGTAATTATAATAATCAATTACCTTTACATAATATATGATTAAAAATGATCAAAATTTTTAAACTTTGTTAACTATTTTAGGTATTCAATGAATACACACCTTGTCCCATCACTTTTTCTATCAGAGGTGTGAAATCCCGTTTCCCTCTCGTGGGGTATGGGGCGAAAACATTTCTGCGTCCGTTTCACTGATCCATTCTTTTTAACAGGCAAGTAGTTGGTCAGACTTCTGTGCCGCAGACCCGACCGGAACTTATTTGTTTTTGTTCACCTAGGATTCGAACCCATGGCCTCTCGCGCATAACGCAATGTGGGCAATACGTTTAACCATTTGTCTACAGAGGCGGTCGGTATTAAGGTTTACTATTATTAAATTATCCAATACTATGTAATTATTATACAATATCCAAAATATTAAAATCAACATTAAATGTAACAATACTTTAACAGTGAAAATGTTTTGTTAATAGCATTACAATTGCTTCTTTATGACAGAGGAGAATAGATAAGCACGAGGCTCTCTTGATAGAAGGTGAAATAAACCTGCCATATAACATCTAAACCAGACGCACTATATTCGTAAAACCACAGACTGTAACCGAAACGCGAGTAAACGGGTTCATTAGAAACATCTTGGACAGTAGTATCGGGTAGTACAAAATGCTACCTCTGGTTGGTAATAATGTTTCTATCTTTACAGATATGCACAATGGCGTCCCCGTCGAAGCATAGATTAAAAAGACCGTCATGGTATAGAAGGCTTATGCAGAAGAGATTGCCTATTACTAAATGGCTGCCCGCGTATAATTCGGAGAAAGCCTTAGCTGATATTATAGCGGGTATTACTGTGGGTCTTACTGTAATTCCACAGGCTCTAGCCTATGCGACGCTAGCTGGCTTACCACCCCAGGTAATAGTTGAGATCGTTAAGTTTTAAACGAATTCGGACAGAGGAGATTAGAAGTACTTAGTACGTACGATAAGAACCTACTTACGTAGTCTGTGATTTTAATTGGGGCTTAGGTCATTAACTGACTAGGGATGTGTAGTCTAACCTAAAACAAAAAGTCTTTCTTACATCTAATAATTTTATAAACAAAAGAATTAAGGTAAGGTATACCAATACATTCCTTAAATAATCATTGTTTTCATATTAAACACATGTAGCTTTAAGGTGATCGCACATTTGACAGAAACGCCCGCGCTGTGGTACAACTGGTGATTGCACGTGTACGTCGCTGATTAATTTGCGTTCACCTTTACTTTTTGTATATATGTATTAAAGACCCCAAATATATATATAATATTTGCCGTTACATGAATGTTCTCGTTCCGAAATTCACATGCTTAGAATTCATGAAGTGATATAAGGTTGATAAACAGTTTCGACCACATTCTAAGATGAATCTTGTTAGACTAGTATTCAAAAAGTCACGTGAAAGCTTTAAAGGAGTCTGTAGTAAATTTATAAAAATTTATGCAAGGAATTTACAACATTTAAAATGCAGAGTGATACTTGTTTTGATAAAATTCCTTGGGTGATGTTCGTATGTTTGGCGGAGAACTGTTCTTCCTTGAACGCTGATTTGATCCATATGGTGTCTTTTAAAATGGATCGTGGACCTTAAAAGTATTATTTTTAAAAATGGAAATGTATCTTCTATATTTGTGAGATAGATATCCTATGTTTCGTGACATATCAAAGTATATTTTTGCAACCGTGAAATATATAAGCGTTTATAGCCACCCTTAAAAGCTATTTATCTTGTCCCAGACCTCATTTAGAATCGTTAAACCGATACATATTTTTCTAACATTCCATTCTTAAAAAAAACTTAAACTAATAGCGAATCATTAAATTCGGTTCGTTAGTTTATGAGATAAGGGTTTTCAACCAGACAAACAGAGTTCGACTATATAATATTAGTAGAGACGTACAATTCTATGCATTACCATTCCTATCTGCTTTTATTAATGCATAAAATATCACGAGATCGTAAAATTTTAGCGATGTTTGGCTATTGAAGGATTTGTCCTTATATCACCTTGAATTGCTGTTTTTTGCAATGCCTTAGAATTCCGGAAGCATGAAAAAGTTAGGTTGATCAGGACACGAAAGTCTTCATTGAACGATTTTTATACAAATTGTTTGTTACAGTATGGCCTTTATTCGTCGTTTATGGGTTGTTTTATATATATTTTATTCGGCTCGTGCAAGGACATCACCTTGGGGCCTACTGCACTGCTGGCATTGATGACCTATGAGCAAATTCAAGGTCGGAATTTCGATTATGCCGTGTTGTTATGCTTTCTTACTGGCATAGTTCAACTGATTATGGGATTATTGCACTTAGGTAAGAGTTTTAGAAATATAATGAAGATTGATGTCAATGTCAGTAAATAAGATTATTTAAGATTATAAAGCTGAAGAGTTCATTTGAACGCACAAATCTCAGAAACTACCGGTTCAAATTGAAAAATTACTGACGTGTTAAATAGACCATTTATAAAGTAAGGTTTTAAGCAATGTAACATCACGCACCGTCCAAAAGGAGCAAAGAAACAGTGGTAAATGTGGGAAAAATATTTAAATTGGAGGCCTTTTAAGCAAAAATTTCATTAGCTAATATATTTATAATTCTAAATTATTAACGTACCGGTGGCGTAAACCTCTGACAATACTGAATTCTTTCAGCTGGTAGAGATCGAAAACGTAACATAGAAAATTTATCGATCTCATTTATTTTTGTCGGATTTTAATAATTTTTTAAATTAAACGAATGCCCAAAAAACATTTTTGAAGTAGCGAAGCTATCATGTTGTAAAATGCTCTTGTGACACTGTGTCTTATCCTTTTGCTTAGGAGGTTAACAGCTCCCATGGTAATCGTTTGTGTCTACTTATTTCGTTAATAGGTTACTCCATTTCTTACCTGACGGAGTAATAAGGATAACAGTTATTAAATAACATGACCCGGTTTCTTAATATTTTAATTTGAGAATAACGATTACTATAAACAACTGTTTAAATATACGGATGACGCATTCTGTGCAAAATATATAATTCTTTTATTGCTAGACAGATGTATGTAATTAATGGTTTTTAAATATCGACGACTGGTAAATATCATTTTTCGTGTATAACGAACGAAAGTATGTTATTGTTCTTCGTCGTGTTTTACATAAGGTACATCGAAAAAGCAACTGTCTTATAAGGAACGATTAGTTATTATCATAATACTATGTAAGAAAATTATATATCTGATTATACGAATGGATAAGTAAATATTTACTGACCATTCTACAAAGCCCCCGAAACGTCGGGTCATGGTGGAAATAAATTAAAAATAAACTAATCTATACATTTCACGTTTTAAACCGTTAAACGTTTTATTTAAATTTAATTGATAAATAGATATTAGGCTGCTAGAGGCAAAGTGTATTAATAACAAAAAACATGATTTTTAATAGGGAGCAAAATAACAATCCGCAATAAACTTTGGCGAAAATTAAGTTTAACTATTATCTGCGTAAGAATTATGTTAACCATTTTCAGTCACTGTACACTTGTAAATTAACATTTTTAGACTATGAAAATATACATAACTCAAGTCATAAATTGCAGTTAGGCTACTCTGCCTCTAGCGGCCTCACATTATCTATACCTAGGATTTGGTAACAACCATGTCAACCCCTCATATTTAAATAAATATATATTAAAGCTTTATCTAAACATTTAAGTTTTTAGCTAAAATAACGTTCTATTTGAAATTTCCCACGCTTTTCTTAAGACAAATTTGAGATCATTTTAACCTTTTTTAATAGAGTTGTTTATGATGTTGACCTTCAAACTTGCATGTGATTCCGCGCAGGTGTTCTGATAGACTTCATCTCGGTACCCGTTACGGTCGGTTTCACATCGGCGACTTCTGTTATCATAGCCGTTTCACAGCTAAAAGGCCTGCTCGGGTTGCAGTTTAAATCTAGGGGGTTTCTGGACACTGTTAAAAAGGTACATATATGCTGATTCTTACTTATAAAGGCCATCAAGTGCAAAAGTCCTGGGATCTAATCCCAGAAAAAAAGGAAAAATGATCAGGGTAAAGAACGGAATCCAGTTGCCTGCAAATAAGATCGATACAGGCACATAAATATGTCTGACCCGTGCGCTATTTAGGGAAAACGGGGTGACACTTGAGAAAGGATTCTAGATGTCAAAAAATAATAATTTATCGTGCTTCGTACCTGGCTTTTTAAAAGTTCTAGAGAGCGTTCAAACAAACAAACAACATTTTAAGCGAGTTTTCATGTTATAGGTCGTCGTAAACATCCCTAACGCAAAATTAGCCGACACGCTTTTAGGAGCCTGCTGTATAGTCGTCCTGCTTTTAATGAGAGTAAGTCTCCGTACTTTATTCATTACATATAGTTACATAACAGGAAGTTAAAAGCGAAAGGTAAAAATAGAAACCTTCATGCGTCAATGATTAAGCATTTTAAATATATTAGATACATAATATATAACAACATATATTTATTTAAATAAAACCTTTAACTGTTTAAAACGCGAAATATATTAGTTAACTTCCGTACGTCCATCTCTTAGAAACCACGGCCTGTGCAAAGTATCCGAAACGTCGGGTTGCAGTTAAAATGGATTGCAAATAAAATAACTAATATATTTCGCGTTTTAAACCGTTAAAGGTTTTATTTAAATGGGTACTCGGGTAAAGTACAGACGTTACTTAACGTATACTTATATAAAACAATAACTTGCATTATATTTATTGTAATATTTAGTAAAATTATTTTATTTTCTTAGTAATAATAATTAAATATTAAAATCGCTGTATAAATTAGAGCCTTGTTGGTCTACTTGTATCGTCACCGATTTATTAGGTCGGCAGTTCGATCCTGAATGAAATTAAATTATGAATCAATCTTATTGTTTTGTATTTATTCTGACACGTGAGCAGCAAAAGAAAATATCGCACAAACCCGACATTCCTACAACAAAATTAAATATGTGATACTTCTTAATTGTTTACATACGTAAATAAAAATTAACAGATAATTACATAACGCTAATAATTTTTTTATAGAGCTATTATAAAAATAATACCCAATTTCAAACATATTTTGACTTTTAAAATTATTTATTGACTCTTTGTTTTAGCTGTCTGTAAGGACTTACCTTCTATCGAAGGAGACATTAATATAAAATGATGTATATCTTGAAAAGTTTTAATTTTACATTAGTTAAATACAATTATTTTACATTAATTGTTTCCAATATTAATATATATAATATATTGTATAGTATACCTTCACTTTTCGCTTATCATTACGTAACGGAAATATGTATAATTTTTTAGAAAGTTTAAGCAAAACCTGTTTCAGGAGTAATTAATAATCCTTATTACCATACATATCAATAGTCCATACCAGTTTTAATATATATATATATATATAGACTATATTTTTGTATTTGGTGTAAAGATACAATTTTATTTTATGTAAAATCAAACTTGTCACATGTCATAATACATACCTAATGTCCTTTTTCTAGTTTAACGGTATTCCATATTTACGACCTTTTCCCTACTGCAATAGGATATATCAATTTAAGTTATGCGTACATTAAGCAAAACAAAGATGCAAACACGTGCAAGACGAGTTCAATGAAAAAGTACTTATATTCCCTAATCAAAATTTTATTTGATGAAGATAGCATTAGGATGTTGTTACTTGCTGTATACCCACTAGGGTAAACAGTGCTCAGACTTAGGTGTCCATCTTCACGATTTTAGGATGTGCGGACATTCACATACCTCTACCATAAGACACTAACCATAGGTTACTTTCCACAGAAAATTAAGGACGTCAATTTACCACCACAACAAAAGGGACTGAAGAAAGCTTTGTGGTTGCTATCTACCTCAAGAAACGCGATAGTGGTACTATTATGTGCCGTTATGGCGTTTTTGTGGGAAAATAATTCCCAATCGCCTTTCAAACTAACTGGGACTGTTAAGTAAGTATTTCCAAATATCATTTAAAAGCTAGGCTTTAATTGATTAATGTTCTCATTGTGTAATGTTTTGTGGGACTTGTTGGTCGATCTCCAACGGGTCGAACATGTTTCTCGTCTATTTATAATTATTTTGGAACAAGTTTGGGACTTCTTCTGCAAATCTAGATATTAAATAAACTCTCGCGTTTCTGTTTCCTAATATTCAAAGTCATGGCTGGTTATTTCACCTTCCATCAAGTGGACCCCATGTTTTTTTGTCCTTCTCTTTCATAAAAAGATAGCCTTATCATTTTTAACATACAAAACGGCAGTTACTTTACATGTTTATCAGCGTAAATTTATACAAATTACACTCATTGTTTTTAATGTAAATCACTCATTTGAATAAATTTTGTTAAAATATAAATTATGGACTAGAATATGTATGTTTGATGCATGCTACTATCCTTGCACTAGATTTTTAATCTATATAGGTTAAACAGGATATTAATATTGTTATTAAACAAATTTGAATTTAAAAAAGTGGTTAAGCTTTTTCGTCACCGCAATTGGTAATTCTTAGATTAGATTCAAAAATTAGACCAAGGTTTAGTGGGTAATTCGCTACAATGCAATTATTATCAATCGAATCCATTCAGGAAATGTTACCAAGGTTTTGTTAGTACTTTAACAATGATAAAGATATAAGACACCTATAAATAGATAACGATGTCAATACAGAACTATGGACGATCTTCCGAACATTATAATAAACCAAATCAAAGTTATACCTATCAGATATGTTCCTTGCAATTTTACAACATTATTGCCTATTAGAAATATAAAAGAAGATTGAATATCGTTAGTTTAATCAAACAGCTTTTCTTATTTTAAGACAAACAAGTCAGGTAGGCCAATATCTTATTAACTACTGCCTGTAAATAGAAGCGAGTTTACCAGACAAAGTTAACATGTTGGAGAAAAAATATAATCCGTTGGGGTTTGAATCCACGACACGTTGATTAACCATACATTGCTAAATGTATACTTATTAATGTAATGTATTATTTAAAATATTATAACTGATTACAACCTTTTTGTAGAGAAGGTCTACCGCCGCTAAGTCTGCCACCTTTTGGAACAGTTGTTGATGGCAAACACGTGACGTTTTGGGAAATGTGCGCTGAACTGGGATCTTCCATCGTATTGGTGCCTATCATTGGGGTATTGGGCAACGTAGCTATTGCTAAGGCGTTTGGTAATATTTATATCCACTATAATTTTAAAAATGTTTGTGTGTTTATCCTCACGTGACAACTAAGAATCAATAGAATTTAAAAATGTCTGTTACTGCACAGCACGGAACGCATTCCGGTTCTAGTCCTGCCCGTGTCGTAAAATGTTTAAATTCTAGACTCTTACTAATAAAATACCTCTTTACCACGGTGAAACCATCAAACTTAGAAGAAGAAGAACCAATTGTCATACATGTAATTTTTACAAAGCTAGGCAATAGCACCTACTTTATAAAAGATAAAATTTTGCTTTCAGCTAGTGGAGAATCAGTTGATGCGACTCAGGAGTTGATAACGCTCTCGTTTGCGAATATTCTCGGTTCTTTTCTAAGCGCGATGCCAATAACTGGATCTTTCTCTAGAAGCGCTGTCAACCATGCGAGTGGTGTCGCCACACAATTTGGTAGTCTTTATACAGGTACTGTAAAGGATATTTTTACTTCTGTTATTAAACTTAACTGTTATTGCATTCGATTCGATTTCGTCTACAGGCAAGCAGGTGATTCAAAACGTGCTAGACTAAAACACTATGTTTACTGGGATTCGAACTCACGACCTCTCATATCAATCGCACTTCTGGGCAAGGCGTTATACAATTGAGCTAATATCATATTTTAGCATAAGCTAAAATATGATAAGCATTTTTTTATGATAAGCATCATTAGTGGTGATAAATACTTAGCAATTTTAGCATAAGCTAAAATATGATAAGTATTTATCACCACTAAAGATGATACAATACCTATAAAGGTATTGTATCATCTTCAGACTTTAAGAAACACAGAACTTAGCCATTTTTAATTGACAATAAAGGTCAACAGCGACTAACGATTTTCATACAACAGTAAGTTTTATATAAAACACTATAACGATTTAAAATACTATTTTTTTTGAACTACTTGTTAATAACTTAACTCATATAATCCGCGTTTTAAAGCGTTAAATTGTTTTGTTTAAATTTACGACTCGTGTAAACTACCGACAATACTTAACTGAAAGGAATAAGACCCGAGGTTAATGACACATCTGTCTGACACATTAACCTCGGAACAAATCTTTTTATGTAATTAACAATATCACTTTAACACAATACATATTACACATATAATTATTATCGCCTATTCTTAAGTTATGAAAGAACAAGGAAGTTAAGATAAATAATTGTGTCATTTCTCTTAGAATATTGACCTAGCTTAGGAATCTACATTCTCATCGCGTAAGTCCTGGGTTTTAATCCCGGGAAGCATAATAAATATTTTGGTTGGGCAGCTAACTAAGGTCTTATCCGCGCCATGCCTCAAGGGGAATTTCACACAATATAATTATTCTCTAAGACCCAACGTAATTGAATTAATAAATATAAGATAGCCATAGCTTTTCCGTCTTTTTTCTTCAATTTTTAACGACATTTTTGTGAATGAGACAAAGCATAGAATAGCTAGTTTCAGGAAAAATTGAGTTTTTGTTACTTGTTTGAATATTAATATTTAACAAGGAGAGTCTTTGTTTAAATTACAAATAAAATTCAAAGACTTCGAGGTAGCTTAACATAAAAGTTGCTATTACAAATCTGCGTATGTACAAAAGTTTTATAAAGGAATAAAAAAAATAATCGACAAACTTCAACTTCTTCGAAAATTAAAAAAATAATCGTACAAATGTACAACACACATTCTTGCACGATTACTCATTTATTTTATCGGTATCATTATAGTCATACATTTACCGGGTTTCCTAAATTCGGCATATTAACTTCGCAACTTGTAAAGGTCACAAGATTATCAATGCAACATACATGTTTTTAAACCGGGAAGCTCCATCTTCTTATCTGAAGTTCTTGTTTAATATTATCAAACTAAATTAGACTTTTGACGATAGTTTTGCATGGACATATTATTAAATTAAATTAAAATAAATTAAACATGTTTTTCACACAAAACATATAATATACAACATAGAAAATAAAGTAAGGTAATTAAATACTGTCTATAGTTTACGCGAGTAGTACACATTTAAATAAATCACTTTAACGGTTTAAAACGCTATATATTAGTTAAACTTATTTAAATACTTATTAAATAAGTTTAACTAATATATCGCGTTTTAAATCGTTAAAGTGTTTTATTTAAAGGTAATTAGACAAATATTAAATTACAATCGGTAATCGTGTTGCACTTACGTTATTACTTATTATATTTTATTTTCAGGTATATTAGTAATTTTGGCATTAAGTCTTCTAACTCCATATTTCTACTACATCCCGAAAGCTTCGTTAGCCGCTGTTATTATTTGTGCGGTCATATTCATGATTGAGTATGAGGTAAGTTAATACAAATATATTTGTTAAATCTATACTAATATTTAAAGCTGAAGAGTTTGTTTGAACATGCTAATCTAAGGAACTACTGGTTCGATTTGGAAAAATCTTTTTGTGTTAGTCTGAGCAATTATCGAGGAAGGCTTTAGACTATAAAATATCACGGTGAGACAAATAGGAAGAAACGTTGGGAAATGTGTAACAAACTTTATATAAATATCAATTTTTAAGAGTTTCCATAGCTTGCGCTGCGAAAAAATCATTTTTAAAACGTTTAAATAAAAGTCTTAACGGTTTAAAACGCGATATATATATGTTAAATTTATTAGTAAGTTTAACTACGTACACTGGGGCTGCAGACACTACGGGGCTACACAGGGTCTCCCCGTTACCACGCCTGCTGCAAAGCATCCACACTTCGAGTCGTAGTTAAAATAATTTTCAAATAAGTTTAACTAATATGTTATAAACCGTTAAGGTGTTTTATTTAAATGTGTACTACTCGCGTAAACTACAGACAGTATTTTTTTAAACGTCGCTTATTATGGAACTAATAACGTATATAATTCAATGACACAGTTGATGAGTGTGTGTTAATTTTCACGCAAAATTAGCGAAGAATAATAGCAGTTAATAGCGTGAAACGCAACCATTTTTACTTATTGTCTTCAGACTGTTATTTTCTCAGTATTTATTTATTATATTCATTAAGATATGCGTATTTGAATATGTAGTAAAAACCTGTATATGTTTCGCGCTAATCTGCTTTAGTTTCGAGCAAGTGTGTACAGTGTACACTGTTCGACCGAACCTATCATATGACGGGCTCGTTGGTCTAATGTTGGCTTACGGCCAAGGGGCCGTGGGTTAGATTCCCATCAGCTCCAACATTATGTTTACAGCATGTTGAACTTAGTCTAGAAATCTGGATATTAAATGTATAGTAGCGTAATCGAAATCCGTCAGAGTCACGAACCATCCTTCACAAATGAAAATCCGTGGAATTTTATCGCGTGTAGTTAGTTAGTCTGTGGATTTCCCAGTTTCCAAAGCCAGACAGGTAAACTGTATATGACTGGAGTATTTCAATTTCCATCAAGTTCCTGTCATAAACCCTATTCTGGTTTGTTCCCATTTCCTATCATGAAAAAGTACCTATATTTTCTGACATTCGTACCCAGAACTATCCCGCTTATAATAAGCAATCCGTTTAGGTTGAAGCATTGAGGTCGTCTAGTACTAGTATCCAATATTTTTTTGTCGCGGTGTGAATGCGTTCTACTAATAAGTCAGAGTATCAAGGTTATAAATTAAAATACACTTCCTTGCAGGTAGTGAAACCAATGTGGCGTTCTCGTCGCGCCGATTTGGTACCAGCTTTTGCGACATTTGCGCTATGCCTTATAGTTGGTGTAGAGTTGGGTATAGTGGCTGGAGTACTCCTCAATGTGGTACTCCTTCTATATCCCAGCGCAAGGCCGCAGCTAGAAGCAGAGATAGTTACAGTGAGTATAGCTTCCGAATAACTAAAGCCAAAATAGGCCGACAGCGCATTTTGTTAAGGTGTTATAGAGTTTTCACCCACCATCAAGTGAAACCCCACGTCTGTCTATCTTCCTCTAACATGAAAAGCTCCATTGTATGACACGTACGTATAAAATGATCTCATTTCTGCTTGGAATTATTTTGTGACTTGTTAATGTATTATTGTATTTCCTTCTAACATTTTTATCAATGTTCAATGATCATTTTTATCATGTTTCATACCAGATGACGAAATTACTTTTAATTGTAGCTAAAATTCAAACCCAAGACATTTTGTGCTTGTGAAGAAAAATCTAAACTAATAACAACAATGACTGTTTTTTTTATTATTTGGAAACGTATACCAAATTTAAATGAGTTTGTTAGTCGTTTGGTTCGAAAAGCGAACAAACATACGTTATCGCGTATAACACGAGTAATAATTCTCAAATTTTTACTGAAACGGTTGGCCAATACAAGAATTCGTCATAGATGTAATTAAAAACAAAATTAGCATTTTGATAAGCGTGAAGTAACTCGTGCGTGCGGACTTGTCAAGGATTTTTTTCAATTCACGTAATTTTCAGTAGAATCAATCTCCGCGAATCGCGACCTATTATCCAATTACCTACGTGATGACATACATAGATAGAAAACGTATTTACGTAAATTGTTTATATGGAAGGTCTGTTCCAGAACTTTCTAGTTAGTTTATATTTTACAGATTTGGTTTTACCACCCTCTGATGTTCAGTGTGATTAATGGGCGTCAAATCTTAGCATAAATTTAAAAAAAAACATTCTAGCATCATGGCCCGGGTTCAACTAGAAAAAGTATATAAATTATCAAAATCGCTCACACTACAAGTAGTGTGAGATCGTAGTAAAGTAGGTAGATCCAAGGATCTACCTACTACTACTACTGTATATTGGAAACATCTAACAAACTTTCTTGTATAACTTAGCTTCTTGGCTACAGTTTTATTGTTATTATACAATAAGTCTCAAATATGATATTATTCCAGTTAACGGAAAAAATTTTAAATTTAAGATTTACTTGGAAGTACTAATGTATGTTAAAATTGTATGACTATGTATGTCTATCCCTCTCATAAGCTTGACAAACTTTAATAGATTTTGCGCTAAAATAGTTCTTATACATAGAATACATAGAAAATATATATTCTGGATCATTGACATATTCCACCGATAAGAACAAAGTGTGTTAAGAATGTGATTGTTTTACCAGCCTGTTCAAAAATTGACGCTATTAGAAATTATTAGTAGCCGGCAAAGTAATTTCTACTTGGAAAATCTAATCGACCGAAGCGTGAATTCTTCATGCATCACATGTAATGTTTTTTTTTTTTAATTTCAGAGCAATTCCGGTCTCAGTTACCTCCTAATTACCGTTGGTAATAGCCTCTACTTCCCTGGAGTGGAATACATACGCCAGTACGTGACACGAGCAGCCAGCAAACAATCCGGAAACGTTCCCGTCGTTATTGACTGTCGATATGTGTTAGGTAAGTTTCTATAACATTAAGAACAACTGGATTCTATTAGAGTTTGAGTAGGACAGACAAATATGGGACTGTCTGTTCTTGATGATTGATGAAGGTCGACATCTAGCGAGCAAAGTGTAAAACTTACATATAAAAAATAAGTTAACTAATATATTACTAGTGTTTTAAACCGTTAAAAGTGTTGTATTGATATGTTTAGTTGTTAGTAGATAGCTGTGATTTTGTAAGTAAGTTTAAAAATATTTATAGATTAACAGTAAGCTCTGTAAGCCTACAGGCCTCATAAACCTATGACCATTTTGTCGGTTTTGCGCTAAATAGTACCAGTTTATCTCTCTTACATTATTTGTAGGCGTAAAACCATTTGTTTGGATGGTACGCTATCAAATTGCCTTACTGTTAAACTAACTTTCACAATTTTATTGAAACTAACACATAGAATATCTGAATTTTGTTTCAGGAGCCGACTTCACAGCGGCAAAGGGCCTCTGCGCATTATCGAACGCGCTGTCGTCTCGCGGTCAGCCTTTAGTCCTGTTATCGCCAAGGGCTTGTGTTGCCTCGGTGTTCACTGGTGCTGGTTCGAGTGTGCATGTAGTTCTTAATGCCAACGAATTAGATGTTAGTCTTCAAGGTAAAGTTGTTAGACACGTTTTAAAAATACTGTAGATAAGGATATATCTATTGGCATGCCTAATGGATGTGCATAAACTATTTGACATTGAAAACTTTAATGTTTTTCACACATGATTGCGTTATATAAATTGAAAATAAATTATTCTGCAAAGCATAACGAATAAGAACCTTAATGAGCAAGTGTTAAGGTTGAAATTACATTGCCCGAGAGATCATTAGGTTGAAAAAATTCGACGATGTGTAGGACACAGTAGCTCAACACAAACACACAGTTGGTTCGAACAAAACGGAAACGCTGTGGTTGCCGGTTCAAGTACTAAACGTAAATATTTTTCATTAATGTCTAACATTTTTTTTACTGTTGTTAGAGGTATTCTTAGTTGAAGAATTGTTTGATTTAAGCTCTTTAGTAAATATGTAGTACTTAAGGTTATCTCGATTCTTATATCTATTTTCTAACGTTTAAAGTCCTGTCGCTTCAAAAAACATCGCATCTTATGGACAGACGTATAAACAATTATGTTTTTCTCTATAATACATCATTTGTTCATATAGCTTAAGTAATATATGATCTGTTAAATCAGCATAATTGCACTTCTTGAATAAATAATTACTCCTTATGTAGAAGAAAAAAATCTAATTACCGTGATTTTTACAGAATTAACTGGCCAAATACCGCTCCCAGTGATCGAAACAGACCCAAAGAGGGTAACACCCCCTCCAATGTACGCCTCCCTAGCACAAAATGAAGACTCTCTAGAGGTTATTATAGCTGAAGATGACAAGACGTCGCCCTTACTTACCACAGTGCATAGAAAGAAAATCAGTGAGGTAGATGATACTTAGATTTAGCCCTACTTAGTGGTAGTACCAGCTTTGTTGTGTAACTGGAATAAGATATGTTGTTTAACATAAGTTATACAAACAAGTAGTTACCGATCGCTTAAACACTAAATAAAATCATATTTTATTGATTTTTAGAGTTGTAGGTAGGTAACACGAGTATACATTTAAATAAAACCCTTTTAACGGTTTGAAACGTGCAATATATTCGTTAAGCTTTTATTTGATTTATTTTAAGCGTCTACCCGTGACCACAGCTGCTTCAGAGTATTCGAAAAATTGCCGTAGTTAATAACAAGTTTAACTGACATATTTCGCGTTTTAAATCGTTAAAAGTGGATTTTAATTAAAAAAATCCTTATGAAATTCAATAAAATCTAAACTACGTATTTGATTGTTGTAAATCCCAATACGCGCAGTATATAATATAGTTTTTTGTTAATCCGTCCATATATATATATATATATATACAAAGTAGTCTTAACTTATATGTACATAGATTATTCTCGTTACACAACAAGGATGAAGTTCCTAAATAAAACCTCCAGTACCTAAGTACCGTAAGCATAAGTGACATATTTACCAATATATTTAAGTCAGTCTTAATAGCACTATTGTACTTATGCTCTCCAGTGTAATTTAAACTTTGTATACCTCGAATATTGTTGTAGTATTACATTATTTTTGTAAATAAAACGCAATTTTATTTGTTAAATCCACTTATCTTCTTAGTTTCCCCCGTGGGGCAGGCAAACACACGAACACGGCCGTTTCACTTATTTATTTATAGGCGAGTAGTTGATTACACTTTTGTGCCCGATAAAAGCAATCTATTGTTTCCGTGAGATTCAAACCCACCTTTCCAAGCAACACATCTAACCATTTAGCTACAGAGGCGATCACGTGTTAGATCCTTTTTTATAAAGTCATATCTATAGGTACAAGTCCTGCCCGAGTCGAAAATTTTTTCAATTTATTTTCGATTTTTAAATTATATAGTGCCTTCATGTAAAAACTAATAAAGTTTAGTAGTTTTAGATAATAAAGTTTTCAAAGCTTGTAACAGTTACAGTATTGGTCGAAGAATCGTTAAAAACTATATAAAAAAAAAACGCGAAGACACCGTTAGTAAATTCTGCAGTTTCGCCAAATACCAACTTCGACGGAACAGATGGCGCTAGCGTAGCAATTTTTTACTTTGACGTCAGAGACATCCTCCATCTTTAGTCTCGGAAACGTCGGTCCGAAGTTAAAAAGTCATTTTCAAATAAGTTTAACTAATATATCGCGTTTTAAACCGTTAAAGTGTTTTAACTATATAAAACTTAGTTGGCATATTGTCTAATGCGGCTCACTGCCGACGAGAAAACAGATATACGCCATCTTAAAAACCCACTGAAAGATACCTAGTGCGGTTATTTTTTTATGATAAGGAGAACAGTCAAGCGTGAAGTTCACTTGATGGAAGGTGACCCCAGCCTTATAACATTTCAACAAGATGCGCTGTAGATTTTGACGTTGTATATTCGAAAATCCACAGACTGAAATCGAAACGCGATTAAACTTCACAGTTTTTCATCTGTAGACCCGGTCGTTGACCCGGACGGGGTTTCGATATTCTTACCACACATTCAATATCAAGATTTCCAAATTTGCAAAGTTCAACACGTTTCAGAGAAATGAATTGGGTGGGGATGGAACCGTTGATACACCATTTTCCATGTACCATTATTCTTACAAAATGATTATGGTAGTGTAGTGACATCCCGTTTCCCCCTCGTGGGGCATGGGGCGAACACATTTTTGTTTCCCTAGGATTCGAACCTAGGACCTCTCAGGACAAAATGCTTATACTATAAAAATAAAAAGCATATAATTTTTTTGTAGTTTTCTTTATTTAATACTACATATATTTAATGTATAGTAGTAATGATATAAATAAAAATAACTTAGCACCTTCCGTTTACGTAATAAATGCAATTTCTGTCTTATGTTTAGAATGAGTATCGATATATTTTAACCTAAAGAATCTAACCTAACCTTACTTTCACAAAACATATAATGATTTTTAATAAAAGTGTATAGTGATGTGTTTTTGATGAGTTATTATAAAGTAGTGTAAAAAAATCAAGCATGAAAAGCGAATACAATTCTTTTATGTAAATGTTTTTGCGTTTCGTCACCAAATACCCATTTAAAATTTATCGATTCGATACAATCGCCTATGTTCCAAATTCAAATGGTTTTATGTTTTAGACTACCCACAGATTGCACCGAATCAATGCGAATTAAAACCATTATTTATTGACTTATTGCCTAACGACACTCTGGCGCAGAAACATAGGCTTAGATGCAGATCTTAACTTTTCGGAGACAACGTGAGCGATTCGGGCACTCCTTTGCCAAACCAGCTCACGGGTTCTCTCGTGGTTGCTGTCAACGCGAACCTACAAAATAAATCAGTATTACACTATTGAAATATAAACTAATAAAAGATTCACATTTAAAATATCAACTAATAAATAGGAAAAGTCACACAAACAAAAAAAAAATGTGTTTTTGAGACAACTTTTTAATCACACCGTTAAGAGTTCGACTGCTGCAAAACATCGGCAACGTCGTACACAGAAGTAATTTACCTAAATATTTCGCGTTTTACACAGTTAAAAGTGTTTTGTTAAAGTACTTGCGTAAATAACAAACAATACTTATTAAAGGATATAAAAATATTATGCTTCGTCTCAAATAAAACATGGCGATATTGAGTCTTTTCCATAGGAGTTGAAAGTGATATTTAAATAAAAAATAATCAAATAACTAAGAAGACGCCTAATTATCTTATATAATAAATCTGTATATGTTGTTTATATACACTTATTATATAGTATAGTAGGTTGACAATTCATGCCTACATATAAATTTAAATACTCACTTGTTTTGGCTGTAAAACTTTAATGGAGTGTAAAGTCGCAACTCCTTGATTGTTGACCCTTAGCGTCAGTTTACCGTTCATCTCAGCGGTTGTAGCTGTCGCTGACTTGAGTTCCTTTTTAGCGCCCCGGCCGACCTTCAATTATAAATTGATTAGTATATGAGACGTGAAACTCAATTGTATTTTTTTCTTACAATAGAGGAGAACAGACAAATAAGGGTTTCTTTGGATGGTAGATGAAATACCCCAGCCATATAATATTTAAACAAGATGTCCAATCCGGAATCCGGAAATCCACAAACTGTAATCGAACGCGATTAAAATTTACTGCTTTTTCATTTATGACGGTGGTCCGCGGTGGACCCGGACCGATTTTTCGTTATTCCTACTACCCATTTATTATCCAGATTTCCAGACGAAGTCCAGCATGTGGAGATCAAAACCCACGACCCCACTGTGCTACCAATACACTAACGACCCATCTCTGCGACATTGAGCCACAAAGGCGTGCAACATTTAATTAGTTTTAATTTTAAACCTCAATAATGTAGCCAAGACACTGTTAACAGTTTAAAACGTGAAATATATTATTTATTCTATTAACTATGACTCGACTTTTTTCCGTGACCACGCCCGCTGTAAAGTATCCGAAACGTGGGGTCGTAGTTAAAATTAATAAAAATAAGGTAACGTTCGTCGCGTAAACTACAGAAAAGAATTTAAATTACAAATAATACTCACTTCCTTTTCGACTCGGAGGATAAGTGGGCCTACTGCAAAATTGCTTTTAATGGTTGTGTGGTTAGTCATAATACTAACAGCGACGTCGCCACTTCTCCTCAAAGAAGAAAGGCCGTACAAAGTGCCCTTAGCTCTCGGCTTGCTCTTTTCCCCGCTTTTCACCTTATTCTTAGAAGGTTTCTTGGTATTCTTCACCGGAGCTTTCGCCGGCGGTTTCGGTTTAGGCTTAGTTGCCTTAGTGGGCTGTTTTGGCTTCGTCGTAGCTGGCTTCGCTTTTCCACTTTCATTTCCAGATTTCTCTTTAACAGCTCTCATTTCTGTTGGGTTTTCACTGAGCGTGTTTAGTTTCTGTCCGTTTTCCATTTCGTCTATCTTGTTCTGTTGGATTTCTTCCAGTCGCTCGATCTCGGATTTATTCTCTGTAACGCCGCCGCGGGCTGTGTTCTTCTTTTTCGTTGGTCCCTTTCTAAAATTTGGTATTTACATTAATTCATAGCGTTAACACGACTTGAGTACCATTGAGGATTAACTTACTTTTTGTTTGATTTGTTCTTGTTTTTATTCTTCTTGTCCTTTGAACTATTTTTACTGGCGTCAATTGGCTGGAGCTTGACGTTCACTGGATCGTAGGAGCGTCTTAGTATGTCGTTCATTTTCTCAAGGATGTTGTCAACGAATTTATTGTATTTCACTATATACACTGCAGGCACTGGTGCTTGTTTCTTGGCTGGCTCATCTGTCAGCGCTCCTGTTTCAGTATATAATAAACTTTTAACCTAAGTTACGTCCTACATTTTACTTTTTGCTAATTTATATCCTATAGATATGAGTTATACTTCTTTTTAACATTGTTGTTTTATAATATATGTCTAACTTTCATATGTAAAGTTACTTACATTACTTTTAGCAATTTATTAAACTTTTAGTACTTTGAAAACTTTTTTTTACATGTTATTGCACATGAAGGCACTATATAATTTAAAAATCGAAAATAAATTGAAAAAATTTTCGATCTTATAAAATAAATATTAAGTTTTCAAACGTTATAACTTTGTAATTTCATCTTCAATGATTTCTTAAGCTGCAAAACATAAGACGTTGAACGTTTAAAGCGCAAGTGTTAAGATTGAAATTACATTGCGCGAGAGGTGCATGCATCAATAAGTTGAAAAAAATCGACGATGAAGTGTAGGACTCGGTAGCTCAATTGGTAGAACAACAGCACGGAACGCTGACGATGCCGGTTCATGTCCTGCCCGAGTCGAAAATTTGTTCAATTTATTTTCGATTTTTAAACCTTTAGTACTATTCGTCATTATATATCCTAAATGAAAATGCTAGTGTGTTTTCTAAACTAATTCAAGTCTAGGCTTAGAAGTCAAGTAGAGTGATTTATTTGTGTCGTGTGTTCAGTCAAACCAGTCATAGTCAGTATTAATAATTTTATTTACAAGTAGACCTCACAAATATTCAATTTCTCTCTCAACTAAACAAATACTTGTAAAATTACATTATTCATGACATCACGCACAGTGCAGTGAGTAATTAGGTATTCAGTGGGCTAATAATTCATACAACATGTCCAATTCGATTCACGTAGGGGAGGCACGCGAACTAACTGTTTCTGTCTCCGGGCCCCGCTTGAATTCTAATAGCCGCTAACAATTATTGGGTCCAGTCAACGATGGATTTTCTATTTTCTACACGTAAAAGAAACTGCGTGCCGAATGCTCGCAGCCAATCACATCCAACAACATTTAATTTACTAACTTCATTAATCTGTTATATTTCTGGTTTGGATGTGCCTTTTTTATTGACATGTAAACAAGATAAATTTCTATAAAAGAAAGAAAACGGAGGCCTCGATCCAGCGAAGTCGTTTTAGGCGTTGCCGGTAACAAACTAGTTTAATTTAGGTCGAATGTGACTCCTCGCGGCTCTCCCACAGTTTCTCGGCGACAAACATTGTAAAAATTTCTCTTTTCGCATTACATTAAGTCGTTTTCACTAAAGGCGGACACGCGAATTTCGTGGTCATTTCGTCATTTCGAGAGTGAGTCTGAATCGATTTACTTTCTATTGATCGTCAGGAGCGTTTGAGATCTGTCAAGGTCAAATCCTGGTAATTTCGAGTCAAGGTTATAAGAAATCGGCTGGGTTCATCGCACTAGGATGAGAAAGTAAGCGGGCTCGATACCCGTTCTCGACCTCTTAACATACATCCATTTTGAGCTAGTTCCTCGTTAATATTCTACATAGAACCCATCCGAGGCCTGTCAGACTTGATCGATCTATCGACCAACAGATCTATCGTACCTACCTATCGTTTAACCACTGCAGGTGGTCTAATTATATGGGAGGTACAGGATGGACTTAGGAAGAACTGGTTTGTGCGTTAAATACATACATATAATATATCGGTCAAGAAGCTAGTTACTTATATTACTTCAAATATTTACAAATCACTACTTTCTAATATTCTAATAACAGATATATAGCATATAAAATGTTAGAAGCATAAAAATAATATTTGAATACAGGCTGTTTAATGGATGAGGGTAAAGGGATTTTACATAAATATATCGTTTGACTAGTATATATTTATTATTTGACAAAATTAAATTAATATAACTAGATAATGTCACTTTTGTTTGACAGAATAACTAGAATTATGACCGATATTATATGTGCAAAAGATCAACTTATCAATGGAACCGACGCACAAATCACTTCGGAGACGTTCTAAAAAAATTTCACACAATTTAAGAACAAACAGTTTTTATTTCAAAATAATTTGCCACGGATTTGATGTGACATGATCTAGACATTAATTTAACTTTTACTATATCGGGTCCATACTAACACTCACACATCAAGCACACGCACTTAATAAATAAAATAAATTAAATAGAATAAATAAATAGTTAAATAGCTTAGCTAAAGGAGGGAAACCGCGGAGGTCTCTCAGGTGGATGCGGGAGCGAGGCACGCCCGGTCACTGGCGCTTTAAACTATCTGAACTTTTTGTGTTCTGGTACTGCCGCTGCAGCCGACGTCGCTTTGGTTTTCTTTACTTTAATATGACTCGTTTTTTTTCCACTCTTTTTTTTTAGCGCCGCGTTAGCCTTTAACTTTTTAGACTCACGTGAATGCTTGGCGGATATATTTCTCGCGAAGGTGTCGGAAATGTCGTCGTCTTCGTCGTCGTCATCTTCGTCTTCTTCGTCATCGTCATCTTCGTCATCATCTTCTGGCTCGAAGGCATCTGTAATTTCTTCCTCATCGTCATCGTCATCGTCGGCTTCAGCGGCTGCAGCGACTTCTGAACTGGCGGCGGGTGTTTCTACTTCCGCACTTGCGGGTTCCTTTTGTCCAGCTTCTGGTTCCTCGCCTTCTGGAGTGGCCTCGCCCTCGACTGCTTCCGCTTCTTCTGAAGCAGCAGCAGCTTCTTCTACTGAAGCGGTTGCAGCTTGGGCTGGAGCAGCGGCCACAGTATCGACTGCAGCTACAACTGGCTGTGCAGCTGCGGGCTCATCGTCATCGTCTTCATCTTCACCACCTGAAATACAATTTTGAAATTAGTCTGAACGTTAAAAATACACCTAATGAAAATTCTTATCGAAACGTACCTCCTAATATATCGTCGAAGAACCTCTCCAAGTAATCTTCATCATCATCGTCTTCTGCTTCGTCTTCCTCATCATCTTCGTCGTCGTCATCATCATCATCATCGTCGCCTGCAAAAGAATACCGTTAGTGATAGGCAGATTAAATGAATATGCATGCTGCTCATAGCCATTTAATTAAAATGTAATTATTTTACTGCATTAGTGCGGTGATGCGTGACCGGCAAATCTATACTTTGCTCGTTAGAAAGCTAGCTTCATTTTCTCTGATTATTTCTTTCGGAATCAATTAACTAATGAGAGCACTTGTCACGCTGAACGACTTACATTCCGTTCTATTGCGTCCTGATTAATAGGAATGTATATCGATAACTATGCTTTCTGTATTGAATATTGAACATCAAATGTGAAAATATTTTTAATAAGTTATTAACATAATAAATACGTCTAAAATGGTGATTAATCACTAATGTCTGCCTAAGCACTTATAAGCACTGTACAGTTTACAGTAATTACAAATTAGTAGAACTTATTAAAAGCTATAAAGAAATGAATGTAAATACCTCGTTATAATAAGGTACAGGTGTACATATATTGAATCATGATGGAATGTGGATTTATACAATGTGCATCGTTTGAATTGTATCCTATATCGATAAATCAAAATCAATAACGATGCAATTAAATCCTCTTCAGGAATTTAAAATTACAAATAGCGCATATTCATAACGAATAATCCGATTTGCATACATCCTATTTGCAATAAGAAGCAAATGAAGTGGACGCGTAGTCACATTGAATTTACCGTTACAATGAATTCTTGTGAACGGTAAATCTTATATGCCAATATATTTGTTTAGCCTAGTACGTTGCACTAGTCTACTTTCTCCGAAAAGTCTTGTCCACTTAGGTGTCCTTTATGATGAAATAAATTGTATAAATAATGTCGAAATTTCCTGCGGGAATAATCGATTTTATTACCTGCTATATCACCAATGTCATCATCATCGTCTTCGTCATCGTCATCATCGTCAGATGCAGCGGGAGCCGGCGCTGGTTGTGCGGCCTGCCTTCCTACCTCCTTCGCCTGTTCCTCTTCGGCCTTGGGGATAGGGCTACAGTTCGCTGCAATAAATAAGCAGCAAACCGCCGCTAATAACAATAATGACCTCATCTCGTACCTGAAACAAATAGAGGTCTTTAATCATCACCAACATGATCCCGATCACATCACAACACTATCACAATCACTTGCACTGGATGTCCTTAACACTTCACCTTTTGACTTTTCACTGTCGAGTCCTACTGGGCTCTGCGGAAGAGGTTCCGCTCGCGTCCTTTTTTATCGGTGATCGGGACGCTATGGCCAAGCCTGGCGTGCGGAAACGGTATAGCGGCGGCGTCTTGGGCGCACTCTCTTTTATAGAGTTACGTCACACAGCTTGGAAAGAAAGTAGTGATGGTAGCAGTCGGGCATAGATAAACCGAGCCGTAGACTTTCTCCCGATAATATTCTCGGTTTTCAAAATCAGTACCTCTTCTACTTATTCCTATGCTTAAGCAAAAATCTAAAGTTAAAATTGGTTCCAAATAATTCTACAAAAAAATACACTTTGATACAGTCCCACTTCGTGTCTAAGTTATAATAACGAACGATGTTTTATTTTATACTGAATGTCGCGTCTGTGTCGTAAGCCAATCTATACGATATAGGGGGGGTTAGTAAAGTTCGATTAACTAATTTATTCAACTTATTTGCTGACGCTAGGTGCTTCGCTGGAGAAAAGTATGGGCGAGCGTGTGGAATTGGAATTTTAAAATATTTTGAACATTAGTATGTGGTGACCAGAGCCGTACTTTCACTTAAGGTTATGTATGTAGACGCGTCCAGGGTAATTGATAACGTGACGTTTAATAATGGCGTGTGATTGAGAAACGCTTGTTGCCACTTTTACTAAATCATTAATGACTAGATGTCTACAATTCTCATTAATTAATGATTATTATCTACTATTGTTCACGCTGCGCCTTGAACTTTTTCATTAAATTAATTAAACATCAAAATATAATACATTTAGTGTAAGATAGTGTATGAGATATGATTGTTTAAGAAAACGAACATGAACATTGTATTTTAATACATAAATAGAATAGACCCCTGAACCTCTCTATTTAGCTTTATGCTGTGTAATTATAATTATTTATATATTGACAAAGTCTCACTATTGTTTAATTTTCTTTTATTGCTCAAATTATTAGGTTGCGCTTATTAGGGATGTACTTCATTTTGTTTCCATTCAATTTAGGCAAATTGAATCTAACTTCAACAATCCAGTCGAAAATTCGGAAAAGTTACCTATTTATATAATAACGTTTAATCCTCTTTAAGATGTTTATAATTTAATTAAGTTTAATGGCTATTTATCTTGCCAATTCATAAACGAATAAATAAAGTCTCTCTTTTGTTTCTTATGACGCAGGTTGATATGATCCTAAACGAGAAAGGTCTAAACCCGTTTTTGGTTTTGTAGGCGGTCACAAATATTTGTATGCGGTTTGTGAATGGACTTTGAGGACTTTCACCAACTCTGACACTCACACCGATGTCCGATGCGCTTGTAAAAATTTCGTGTCACTTTGCATAACTAATAATATGACATATGCGGTCTTGTCTTGTACAGTTGACAAGACGTTACTTAACATGGCGGTAACACACGCTTTACAAATGCTGAAAATATCTGGGTTAACTTGTAAACTAGTGGATATTTCGTAGTTTAAATAGAGTAAATTTAAATCTGAAAATTGCAAATGCACTTCATTCTTTGCAAGATTTACAAATTGGCTATAATTTAAATAAAACACTTTAACGGTTTAAAACGCGAAATACATGAGTTAAATTTATTTGAAAATTATATTTAACTACCTCCCGCTTGTAGCAGTCGTGGCCTCTCAGTGAATCGCGTAAACTACAGACAGTGGCTATAATTTGTTATATAATAATTTATTTATTATTCCTTGACACAACTGAACGTTTTTTGTCTTGAATCGCTTTGAATTTAAGTCAAATCAAAAGTGAAAAAGAAATTTATAAAATGTGGAATATTTTAATTTTTTCAAATTTCTCATTAGCACTGCAACATATACAATGTCAATAGAGCGACTATCATTAGGCCGATAAAACTATAGAACTCGTTTGCGGAAGGTCAACGTATTCGCGACTAACGACGGCGGAGATTTCGAGAAATTTAGCTTTTTCCACTTAAAACATTTTAATGATATTCAATTTTGCAGATAACTATTTGCCATAAAAGTAATTTACGGAATGGAAAGTTATACAATTCCGATGGACTTTCGCAAAAATGAATTATATAATGAGACATTTTTATTCCAGAGAAAGGTAAAGCTGTAAAGGAACTAGATTTCTTATTGAAATTTTTATTGTTTACTTTAATTGCTTTTTTATTACTATTAACTAAGAATTTATCTGTCATGATAAAATCAGCATAAGACATTAATTATTTGATCTTTAGGGAAAAATATAATTGCAACATAGTATTATAATTCCAAGAATTTGTTTCACAGGATTTATCAATTGTGAAACTTCATCACAATTCAATATAATATCGTATGCGAACGATGTGTATATTAATAATAATTATTTTTATTCACAACTGCTGGATTCTTTAGTGCTTCAAAGGAGCAAACCTTCGGTTCGCAGATAAAAATTGGTTTATAATTTTTTAATTAATATAATTATATATATAATTTGTGTTTTAAATCATTTAAAGATTTCCATTTAGAATGCTTTTTAAATCGTATTTTATATGCAATATATTTATGCAAAACGTCTTACTTAACATACTTTTTCCTAATTAAAATTACGTTATTTTAAAATTGTATTTTTAGTGGTATAAAAAGCCAATTTAAATTCAAGAGCAGTTAAGCTTACATAAATAGTAGGTAAGTAAAAGCAAAGAGATATTGATTGTGATTAAATAAGATCTTAAAGGAATAAGTTACTGTAATATTTGATCGTCCCTATTTGATATATACCGCATTTATGCCCTGCCTATCTCATGATGGCTGTCAATCGTATGTCCTGGTTATGATTTAGTACACATAGAATACAAATTAGATATTTTGTATGCTAATTTTCTTTGCAGTAACAGTTATCACAAGCTTACAGTTTGAATAAAACTCTTTTAACGGTTTAAACCATGAAATATATTAGTCAAATTATTTTCGATTGATTTTAGGGGCGGCCCGACAGTTTTACAAGCTTGCAACAGTACGGGGATGTAAATTAAAAATAACTAAATAATATATTTCAAGTTTTAAGCCGTTAAAAGTGATTTATTTAAATTTATACTATTCGCATAAACTAGAGGCAGACTCGGACGAATAGTTGACATAAAGAGAGCTTTCGTAATTTTGTAAGCATAAATTTGTCTCCGGACAGCCATACTTTTAAAATTAAACTTAATAGAGTAACTTAACGAAGAAATAAGACAGAGATGAGGCGCAATAAAACGATGCATTGTGTGTGAATTTTTTGATGCATGAAACATTACGAATTCAATGTATTTACACAAAACATTGAATAATAAAAACAGTTAACTGTTAACCGCTATATGCTTCGCTTACGAGTATACATCAAATTAACTTTTTTATTATTTCTAAATTGTTTATTAAAACCTCTCAAGGCAGATGTTGTATGTAATGAATAGAAAATCGTGAAGTATGAATGTGTTTAAAGATATCCATCATACTTCTTTGTTTTGTTAAATTTGTCTATTTAATATTTTTTATGGAAAACACGAACGACTTTGACTGCGGTTTACTTTGTTATAAATGCTCTATAATTATCCTACACAATATTTTTAAAGATCGTAATTTTTACCAGGATGATTTAATAAATAATCTTTACATAAAGAATGTCAAATTTCAAGATGGACTGCTAAGTAGTTCATGATAGAAAAACAAACTTATTCACAAGTATAATACTAAATACTGTCTATAGTTTACGCGAGTAGTACACATTTAAATAAAACACTTTAACGGTTTAAAACGCGATATATTAGTTAAAAATAATTTTCAAATAAGTTTAACTAATATATCGCGTTTTAAACCGTTAAAGTGTTTTATTTAAAAGTATAATACTATTTTAAAAACACCTGTTGTTTGTGCTTGTAAAACCCTTTTCTTTTACGTTTTCTTTAAATATTTCGAACAGGGTGTTTTTAATCTGTGGCTTAAAGACACATAATTAACATGGTACGAACTACAGTGAAATGGCCCACTAACGCGACCGGTCGGACTTTCTTCAAGCCTTCTCACTTCCGCCTGCGAGCCTCCACGTTAAGGACTTGATCCACTCCGTATTCTAATTTTAATTAGATTCATTAGTCATCTGAAGCATTCCTTCATCTAACATTATCAATATTAGTAGCTGAACTGTTTCTGTGTCTTATAGGTAATTCGATCCTAGAATTGGGAACTACTTTTCGGATATATCAATTTATTGAATCCACATGCAAAAAATACATCGAATGACATAAATAATAATAGATGTATGTGGAGGGACACCACTCAGCTGTTGTTGTACCTGGAAATAGGCACAACGCCGATAGGTATATAAAGAAATAATATAACAAAAGGGGTAGCCAATACGAGACATAATAATTTTTTTAGTATGCATGTTCTCTAGGGATACGTACTTTTACTGAATAATATAATAAACTTCTTAAAAAAGGTTTTCCTACTGATTATATTATATCAGTAAATCTATTTTTTTGCTTTGTACTCTGTTGTGTTACGACGTAATATATCGACTTAATAAATATTTTACTACAACAATAAATCGATTTAAATTTCAAGACATCTAGCGATGAGAATGAACATACTAGTAGATCGATAAAATAATATTTTGAACACAGTAGGCTTCGAAAAGGAAGTATATTTATCACAAAACGTTAAGTTGTCGTTGTATTCTTATAGATGGCGTTGTAACAAAAAAATATATTTAATATTTTATCGTTGATTTAAAGGCTTCTTAGATTTATATTACATTATGCGTATATTAAAAATATTTACCATTAATTAAACAATCTATAAATGACTCAAAGATAATAGCAGAATATGCATTTTTATTGAGAATACGCTATTATTCTAGATAAGAAAGGTCGCCTCTACCAATATTGATTCAAAATGTGGTTATCACTATCACAAAAATGTCTTGTCTTCTGTTTAGAAAAATATAATTGCTGTCTGTTATTTTCAGTCAACACCAACATACAAAAATCAAAGCTTCGCTTCCAATTGTTGCGCTTATTTATGCGCCATTTCCTTTTATTCATTTAACTATTTATTAATGATGAAAGCTGTTAACACCAACATCCGCTTATCCAATATTACATAAGCTTTAAGGGGCAAATGGTCTCATGTGACGGAGTCATGTGATCTGAGACAATGACAACCTT